AAGCCCCAGAATCCTTGCCTCCAAGGAGAAGCCTGGTTTAAGACACAAGAAAAATTGATGCCTTTAAATTATGTGTCGGGAAAGAATAGTAAATATTCCACAGATTGACAAAATACAAGCACATATATTTTGGAGAATGAGCAGCCAGACTGCTCCTTAGGATGCAAAGGATGGTGAAGCTTTGTCTCACATTTCGGCATGTTGCTAGGATATGCTATTCCTTGAGAAGGACATCATGTTTGGAAAAGTGGAGGGGCGCTGGAGGAGAGGAAGACCCTCCACCAGGTAGACTGACACAGAGACTGCAGAAATGGCCCTGAGAGTGTTGGAGATTGTGAGGATGGCACAAGATAGGACAGGGTTCTGATGTGGTATTCACAGAGTTGCTATGAATTCTAATTGACTCAGTGGCACAGAACACCACCACCACCACCACCAATTTGCTCCTGCAGGTTTGGGAGGGTTCCCACCTTGAAGTTTCCATTTCTCCCAAAGGGGCATGCTGCCTTCTCATGCATATTGATGTCTTTCACTTTTCAGAAGGTCGATTTCCTCTATGTTGAAAACTTCAACTGAGGATCTGACTGTTGTTATATACCATCGAGTTAGAACTGACTCATACATGACCTTCCAGTTGGTTTTCAGAGGCAGTAAATCATAAGGGAGGTTTTTGCTTATCTTTTCCCCTTGTAACTGGTGGACTCTAAGGAATGGCAGTGTGACTCCTTTCTGCAAACCACCAAAGCTCCCTGAGAGTCTGCTTGTTGTTGTTGTTATTATGTGGCATCGAGTCGCTTGCGACTCATAGTGACCCTATGTACAACAGCCCTAAACCCTGCTCTATCCTTTGCCAATCTCACTACTTCTGACACACGCATCCTGTTTACCCCAGTCACTGAATCAACCTACTTTATAGAGGGCCTTCCCCTCCTGCGCTGTCCCTCCACCCTCTCAAGCACGATGTCCCTCTCCAAGAACCTCTCCCTCCTTACAACATGTCCAAACTATGTCAGATGAAGCCTCAGAATCCTTGCTGCCAAGGAGCAGCCTGATTTAACCCTCTCCAGGATGAATCTGTTTGTTTTCTTGGCAGTCCAGGGTACAGTCAATACTCTTCTCCAGCATCACAGTTCAAAGACATCAATTCTCCTTCTATCCTCTCTAGTCATTGTCCAACTCTCTGATGCATAATAAGTGATTGCAAAGACCATAGCCTGTATCAGATGCACCTTAGTATCCAGAGTGACACCATTGTTCTTCAGTACCTGGAGAGGTCCTTAACAGCAGACTTTCCCATTGCAATATGTTTTTTTATTTCCTGGCTACTGGTGCCAAGAGTGTTAACCGTGGAGCCAAGCAGACTAATGTTAACAATCTCAATCTCTTCACCGTCCATCCTGATGCTGCCAATTGGTCCAGTGGTGAGAATCTTTGTCTTCTTGACATTGATCTTCAATCCATAGTGAAGCCTGCAGTCCTTGACCCTCTGCAGCAAGCATTTCAGGTCCTCCTCAGTTTCAGCAAGCAGGGTTGTGTCATCTGCATAATGCAGATTGTTAATAGATCTTCCACCAATCCTGACACCA